GAAAATACTTGTCTAAAAAATACTAACGAAAGACAAAAGAAGCAAATTGACACTTTGAAAAGGCTTACCTGTGATATAGGCAAGAAGATAAACACCATGACGCCACTTAGACACAAAATAACTAACATAAATACACTATTAACAACCAGAGTATCTCCTCTGAATATGTATAAATCAGTGTTGTTTAATACGCCGCAGAGATATCCCAATAAACACAGTAATTTGGCAAATTCACACGATTTTTTACAAAGTAAAGATAAGAATTACAAATCTACACAAAGCATGGATACTTTATCGCCATCGAAAAATATTTTCACCACTTCATTAGACCACAACAAAAACACACGACGCACGACTGAATCTACAAGATCGCAAGATGCTCTCCCTGACAACTCAATAGATGGAGCTACGGGTCTTCAATGTAACGTATCTAAAGTAGTAATATTGGGAGATGAACAAATACAAAATTTATCACAAAAAATTCATATTAATAGAAAACATTTAAAAAGCGACTCATATTGCTTCACGACTATAGTGAAAACGGGAGCTTCATGTTCGCAAATTTTGAGTAGTTGTAGTGATTTAGAAAATAAGTTGAATAAAGATGACATTGTTATTTTAGCATTAGGTATGAATGACAAAAAACCCCTACTTATTGTTTTCAGAGTTAGGGACTGCACTGTACAAATTAAGACATTTTAAGGTTTTCATAATAAATGTGCAATATAATTCTTATTTAAATTTAGATTTATTAAATTATAATATAAAGTTGTTGACTAAAACCTACCCTAATTGTAATTTCATAGAATTCCATTCTCAATACTTTTTGACAAACAAAGACCAATATTTAAATGAATTATGTTTAAAAATTAGATTCGAAATGGACTTTATTACGTACTTTAAAAAATACCTTGCACCAAAACAAATAAAATATATTTTGCAAAATAGTAAACAACCGAATAATGTAAAAAAATACAGCCGTAAACAAAATTTAACCCAAAAAACCATCCCATTTTATTTTAAGCGTTGTGACTCTAATTTAACCCATGATAAGTCAAATATGATTAACACAGAAAATACGTTTTTTCGTATTTAGAAAACGAATAACCCTGGTTCATCAAAACATAGCGAGTATTCTCAGTAAATGTGATCTATTTCAACAAGCACTAAATGAACTAGGAAATATTGATATAATATGTTTAACTGAAACATTTATAAAAAAAGGTTCTCAAAGTAATTTGCATCTAAATGGTTTTAATGTTGCCTCAACGTTCTGTAGAACAGAGCGAAGAGGTGGCACCTGCATATTGTTGAGAGATACGTTGGACTTCAGGGCTTATGATATAAAAGAATCTATACCATTTGCATTTGAATGCTGTGCTGTAGAAATACTTCAATTCAACCTAATTATAGTTTGTATATATAGAACACCGTCATCTAAAATTGAGATATTTTTACAAAAATTGGACTCTTTATTAAGTAGACTTTTACGAAAACGCAATAAAAATATAGTGTTATGTGGTGATTGGAACATCGACATGATACAGTCAAACAAAAATTCTCAGGAACTCACAAGTATCTTAAGCAACCACAATATGGTTAACCATATCACGCAGCCTACTCGCAAAAAAGCTTGTTTAGATCTAATAGTCAGCAATATAAAAACTGAGGTTGATCCAAAAATTCATTATATGTGTTTATCGGATCACGAGACATGCCAGACTATTACGTTTGAACCCCAGACTGCTTCAAACTACAAAATAAAACCTAAGGTATGGTTTGAAAAGAGGCGGGATATGAACCCAAATAATATCAGGAAATTTATCGATTGCGTTTCAGCGTTGTCCTTCAATGAAGTATTACAAGAGGACGACACTGAGAAAGCATTTAGTGAATTTTATGAGTTGTTTAAATTATTTTATTATCTATGTTTTCCATTAATTAGGATAAAAAAAGTTAACAAACCTATTAAAAACACTTGGTTGACTAAAGGCATAAAGAGATGCTGTATTAACAAAAGACGTCTTTACCTTCAATACAGACTTAACTCATCAAATAAAAAAATAAATAAAAGTAATTATATAAACTATACGAAAATACTGAAAAAGTGTATATATCAGGCACAACGAAATACTAATACTAAATACATTTCTCAAGCTAAAAATACTTGTAAATCAGCTTGGGATGTAATAAAATATAATATTAATAGGAAGGACATTAGAAATGATATTTATGATATTAAATTAAGTGACAATTTATATATTAATGACCCAATAAAAATAAGTGAAAATTTTAATGAATATTTTATAAATGAAACTAACAAAAATAATTTTGACCAAAATACTGACTTATCAAATGCTGTTCGTGATATACCTTATCACCCGAATAGCTTATATCTGACACCGATTAATGAAAATGATATTTATAAGATAATTATGAATTTAAATAATACCTATTCTACTGGTTACGATGAGATAAATACGAATATAATAAAAAAAAGCGCAAAATTTATTGTTAGGCCACTTACTCATATAATTAATTTGTCCTTTGTTCAGGGTCATTTTCCTAAGTGCCTTAAACAATCTTTGATTAAACCACTACATAAAAAAGGTTCTGTCAATGAAATGTGTAACTATAGACCTATAACACTGATTCCAGTACTATCTAAAATTTTTGAAAAAGTCATGTATGATAAAATCTATTCATTTATCACATTTAATAAGATTCTTAAGGATGAACAATATGGATTTCGAAAAAACAGTAGTACAACTCTTGCATGCTTCAACCTTGTTAAAGATATTACACACAGCCTTGAATCTAGGATGAATACTCTTGCAATATATCTTGACATGAGCAAAGCATTCGACTTCGTATCACATAGGCTCCTCTTGAATAAATTAGAAAGATATGGTATAAGAGGTAATGCCTTGGACTGGTTGAAAAACTACCTTGAAAGTCGTGTACAGTGTGTAGAAATATCTAACATACAAGGTAAAGATAGGATATCTGTTACGTCCAAATATAGACAAAATCCATGCGGTGTACCACAAGGGAGTGTTCTGGGACCTCTACTCTTTCTGCTTTATATTAACGACTTGCCAAACATTACCGACCAAAAATGTATTTTATTCGCCGATGATATTACCCTAATTATAAGTGATAAAGATGGCATAATAGAAAATAAAGCAAATACAGAATTAAAGAAAATAGCACAGTGGTTGAAAAATAATAATCTTATAATAAATGTAAATAAAACAAAATTTATACATTTTAAAACAATTAATAGCAAAAATGATAAAATTAATATAAATGTGAATAACCAACCTATAGAAGATGTAGATAACACAAAATTTTTAGGAATCACCTTAGACAAATTCTGTAACTGGAAAGCTCATATTGACTCTGTAACGGTTAAGCTTGATAGATTTATATATGCTCTTAATAGAATAAGAGAGATAGCATCGCAACAATCGGCACTCATAGCTTACCATGGTTATGTGTCATCTGTGTTGCGTTATGGTATAATACTGTGGGGAAATTCAGTAGATGCAATTAAAATCTTTAAAATTCAAAAAAAATGTATACGTTCACTTTGTGGTGCAGGTTATTTAGACTCGTGTAAGCCCTTATTCAAATTGCTTGGAATACTGCCAGTTCCATGTTTATATATTTTTGAAATGGCAGTGTTTGTAAAAAAGTATTTTCACTTATATCAGAAAAAAAAGATGTTGAATATAGAGGTAGAAAAGGGGACGATTTATGTGTTCCAATCCAAACTCTAATGGTATTTTCTAAAATGCATATTGTATGTCCATTCGTATATTTAATAAGTTACCTTCAAATATAAAAAAAATGACTTTAACCAAATTTAGGACTGAATTATTTTCATTTTTAATTAACAAAATGTATTATTCAGTTAACGATTTTTTAAATGATAAAATAGCCTAATTTAATGTATGTTTGACATTCGTGTGTATTTAATATAATAGTTTAAAATATGTAGATGATAAATATATGTAATTTTTTGACATTTTAATTCAATTAGATTGCAATTTTTCTTGACTATTTTAATAATGAATAGATTGGTAGTTGTAATTTTTGTGACATTAATTTTTCTTGACTATTTTAATAATGAATAGATTGGTAGTTGTAATTTTTGTGACATTGAATATTATTATTACCTTTAAATTAATTTTATTTATTTAGACGTAGTAGACCTTATTGATGTAAATTTCCTGAAATATTTGCACGTTGACATTCAACAAAATATGCTGGTAACTAAAGAAATATGTAACAACTATTGTAACCATATTTTGGCAAATAAATTATTATTATTATTATTATTATAGCTGTGTACTGTGGGTAAGCCGCAAAATCGATAGGGTTGTCAAATTTCGTATAATCAAAAATAAATTTATATTCATCGTCAACCTACTACTGTACCCACTGCTGGTGCAAAGGCGGGTCGGAATGGGAGACCGGGCCATGACTGAAGACCGTGAGTCCGTCAGTGACCGTTGGTAGATGCTAACTATGCAGCCAGTACCAATGGCTTAATGTGTCATTGGGAGCACCGAGGAGATCAAGAAAATAAAAAAAATGGTTACCTATCCAAAGGTCGGCCAATGCGAATGTTGCTTTACTTACACAATCGCACACCGAACTCGCTAACTACTTGCGCCATTCAGCTTCTTATATCAATGTAATAGAATTAAAACGTGTAATTTTTTGGCAATGATAAATGACAGTTTTTTTTTTCTCATGGTTACTTCATGGTAATATCTCATTCACATTATAATTAAAAAAAGGACAAAATGTTGCCAGTTTTCTGATGCCAACCGATGTCAAAAAAATATATTAATTCGTATCTCAATGTGTTGATAACCCTAGCAACCTACGAAATTCTAGATAGCCCATGTAAGTTTAAAGTAACCAAAATATTATAATAAATTGTATTATTTAACCCTTTAGTAAATGAAAACAAATATATTCATACATGCCTGTTTATTTCGTAATGAAACTATAATATTTAGTGGCAAATGGAAAGCTCTGCAAATAATATTTAAATATTTATTTTTTAACTGTGTATTCTGATAAGTTAAATTGATGCACGGTAAAAGGTACTCCAACATTTTAATTATGAAAGTTTAGCACTGCAGTTGACGGATTTAGTTTACAACTAGTTAGGTACATACAAACAATGTTGTATTTAAATAATATTGTCTATACTCTAGTATATGGAGTATACTTTTTTATTTATATTGGTGTTGATGTTATGTTAAAATCACTGTGCCTATCTACATTAACAGAATTTTAACGCAATATTAAACTGTGCGTGATTCTTCGGGATCACGGCACCTGTAAGAGCAAGCGCACATTGAGCCACTAGTCACGGCCACTAAACGCGTACACAAGCTGCGGTTGACCTTTTTATACATTTTGTTTCGTACCGGTGCGGCGCAAACTAAGGGTCGCTGTACACGGGCCACACGCGACAGCCACAAACGCCGCCACGAGAAGCTATAAGTGGCTACCAAAGTAACTGAAGCGCGCGATATCCACTTGAAGCCGGTGGTCGACACTGGCCGTCGGTTGCTGCTAATTTGTTTACCACATGCGTGCAGTATCATAATGGACTCTGACAAAGAAGGTTTGAAGGTGGGTAATCGCGCGAGTGGTGTGTGGCGGCATTTTGTATCGGCGCATTAGTGGCTGGTGCGGGCCACAAGAAGCTAGCAACGACGATTTTTAGCGTGTGGCGGCCACCGGCGTTAACCGTGTGCGGCGAGTCCATGTAAAATGTATGAAAACTACAGGAAATATGCCGGTGGCGGCGTTTTTTGGTTGTCGCCGGTGGCCCGTGTGCGGCGACCCTAAGCGGGCCGTCACTAAGCCACTAGCGGCAGCGGTAGGTGGTAGCGTTTAGTGGCTGCCACTAGTGGCTCAATGTGCGCTTGTTCTAAACCTCTTCAACATCAGGGATCGCGTTCGAGCGCGGGTCAAGCACGAACTTTTACAGCTCCGTATTCGTATCGTCATCGTCAAATTATGTATCGAAGGAGTCAGTTTGTTCTTACGTCCGGTAGTGGCGCTGCTTAATATTCATAGAAACTTTGATGATGTGATACGATTAAAGAGCTGTCAAAGTTCGTAGCGACGCCGTAAACGCTACGTCCTGCGGGTTCCGGTGAGTGCATAAAAACCATTTTTCTCAAACATGCTTGGAAATTTGAGCATTATTTTGACAACCATATACGAGTTAAAATATCTGTACTGACTAGCTAAATATCATACCTCTTTTGCTAGTCGCTACAGTAATATACTTTTTCTCAAACGTGCTCGGTAAGCATTATTTTGACAACCTTCTCCGACATAAATCGAAATTGCTGTACTGGCCAATTTGCATGCGAGCAGCAAACAGCAAAAGTTGTATGAAAATCCATATCTTCCGTGATTTAGCGGCCAAATAAATTATTAGTATCTATGTTATGACATAGGCATCCGCTAAGAAAGGATTTTGATCAATTCTACCCTCAAGGGGATAAAATAGGGAATGAAAGTTTGTATGAAACTTTATCAATTTTAAACCGATTGGGCTGAGACTTTGCATGCAGGAATAAGAACAATCATAGATGAATGTCACTGTGTATAATACAAGCCTGAGAACAAAAACTGTAGTCTACACTTCAGCTCTACACCGAAGCGAAGCGAGGGCGGGCCGCTAGTACTCAAATATTTTTTAAGTTTATTCTTTCGGACAGGCCAAGTCTGGGAACATCAGTCAGTAGCGTTTGCCTTTTATATATACAAAAGATAAAGGATAAACTTCGACGAGTTCCGCTATATTTTGTCTCTCTCTGTTCATCTCCTAACAAACACCATTAATTTGAAACATTCCGTAACTATAGTCCAAATAATTATTCGTTTATTAATTAAAGGTAGCACGGACGAAAAAGCCCATTAATCTGATTATTGGCCGATTTCGGGTATCATCTGCCTTGCACCGTCATATCCCTGATCAGCATGTTGTTGAGAAACCTCATGTTTCTCAAGTGGTATCTGAAATGGCCACGTTTCTTCAATCTGCCCATGTGCTGAAGAGTGCGGACCAACGGCAGGAAGCGGTAAAGCGTGTTCATAGTGTCGCCAAGGCAGAATAAGAAGTTCGCTTCGATGTATGCTGTAAAAATTACATAACATTACATTAATAGTAGGTACTTAAATATTTTATTCCTCATCACTCAAAATCGTCGTCTCCTAGTCGTTCCAGGGACGCAGCTTCTTCGTCTAACTTAAATATACTTATGTTATTTTAATAAATTACAAGTACTAGTTTTTCTTGACAGATGATCAAAATGAGTTGTTTTAATTTGAATATTATTTTTATTTCACTTGTTCCGTACGGTTGATCGATCTCCTCCTTCGATATTCGATATTCAACAATTCTCTTTATAGCAGTACTTATATGTCATTGATTTTACAAACGAATTCTGAACGCAACATGTACTTCTTTCTTCACGCTTACGTTACCATTAGGGTTTAAATAAAACAAAAGAAAACCTTAGAAGTAACCGCTTAGTGTCACCGCACACGGGCCACCGACTACAACCACAGAACGCCGGCATATTTCTTGTAGTTTTCATACATTTTATATGGACTCGCCACACACGGTACGCCGGTGGCCGCCACACGCTACAAATCGTCGTTGCTCGCTTCTTGTGGCCCGCACCGGCACTTAATGCGCCGATACAAAACGCCGCCACACGTCACTCGCGTGATTCCCCACCCCTTTCTCCCTTACCTAAGTCGGCCGCTGTCGCGCGCTTCAGCCACTTTAGTAGCCGCTTCTAGCTTCTCGCGGCGGCGTTTGTGGCTGTAGCGTGTGGCCCATGTATGGTGACACTTATCAACGAACAGGAAAAATGTTTATTACATATTTTTAAATATTTACCGAGATGTTTCAATCTAAAGAAAATTTTACTACAATTCCACTTGGTCCAGGTTTCAAACGGGATTCGAACCCGCATCTTCCTTCCCTCTCTGTAACTTCTACCTTGCAGCCTTAAAATACTGGAGAAAATTCGACACGGCTATTAAGGTCTGGGTACCATAATTGATTAGTGCATCCCGGATAGCGGAATTTACTGGTTCGAATCCCGTCTAAATCTGGACCGGATGGATCTTTTTCTAGCAATTTTTTTTTTTTGATAAATAATGTTGTTTGTTAGCAAGGCTTTTTTCCGTAGAGTATTTTAAATCTCGCATAGATAAATTAGAGATCATGCAGGTATCTTTAATTAGTAGTTGGACAGTGAGAGTTATACAAAATAGTTTCATTTCAAACTGGTATCTTTTTTCACTCGCTTCCCCACTCAGGTTCCCTTTTTTCTCCATTCAATAGCACATAATTAATTTCAAGAAAACCTATCTATTCCTTTATCTTAATCACAAATGAGTTTGTGCTTTCTCAACTACAGAGTCTAGAAAGCACAAACTCATTTGTCAGGCACAGGCCTTTGTCAGTTCAAATCTTAATACCTACCTGCCTTTAATAATGGACAGCGGAATAATGGAAATACCATGCGCAGATTAAAATTAATATTTTCAAAAGGGTAGGTACCTATCGGCAAACATTTACTTAGCAGAGGATTTATAGAAGAAAAATTATATTCACAAATCTTGCAACAATTACGAGAAAAACAAATCGGCTTACTGTGTGTTGTATTTGCTGCCTCGAATTTATGAATTTTGAATTACGTTGTTAGAGAATAGGACAACACAGCTACAAATCGTACTCAGTATTCACTGCGAGAACATAACTCTAATACAAAATTAATTATTATCATTAGTACCCCAAGAATAGTGTTACCAGGTGTCTCGATTTCAGCGGGACGTCCCGATTTTCAGGGGTCTGGGGATGCGTCCCGATTTGTACCTAATCGAGACGCTAAATGTCCCAATTAATCAAAAAATTTAATTTAGGTAATTAACATAATACTTTATTTGCATTAGTACTGTGGTTCGAGGATACTGTACATTAAATAATGTTCATGTTTATTAGTCCAAAAAAGTTTTTCGGTTTCTTTCATTATATTTATGTCAGTCAAAAACAACTTGCAACCTTTATGTCTACCTCGAAATTAGATGATACTTATACCTGTATTTTATAAATATTAAAAAAAATAAGATTCTTTATAGGTACTTAAAAAATACACGTAATATTGGGGGTTGTTTTTAACCTCACCATGTATCACCAAGGGGGAGGGGGGGTTAAAAAATGACAAAAAAACATCACGTGATTAATGGACGGCCCCTAAGATGGCAGTTACTTCGATACGTTACCAGATAGGCGCGCAGATAATCCGCTCTGTACCCCTAGCACGAACCATTATCGAATTGGAATAGTTTGCAAACCAAAATTTTAATGTCAAATTTTGTATGGATACTTGAACAGCAGCGGCACAAAGTACGCAACGAGAACTAAAAATCAGTACACATTTGACAATGACATTTCGAACTCGCAAACGTTACGAATTCGATATTAGTCCGTGCTAAGGGTACTGATTACCCCTCCTATGACGGGCCGGTCGAAAGTAGCTAAAATTTTACGATAGCAAACCGAACGCCTTAACCACTGCGCCATCGAGTTGCTCATGAAGAAAATTGGTTATTTGTATACAATTACAGTAAAAAAACGCCATAAGAGCCTGTCTGAAAATCAGCGCTGCAATCGCGAATGCGTTTACCACAGAGCATAGCTGTGTCAGCGACCTGTTGGCCTTGCACGGAACGCACCTAGTATTTAGTTCCCATGTTTTTTTTATTATGCCTATTTTTTAATTATTATTACCATTTTGTTTGTATAAATTCATGCTGTGAAGGCCAAAAATGTTTTTTCTTTCTTTCTTTCATTATTAAAAAAAAAACAATGACTGTAAGGAATTGCCATTTTAGGATTCCGTACCTCAATCGTCCGTCTGTCCGTCTGTCTGTCAAGACCCTTTATCTCGGAAACGATCTCTTGAAGCTATGACAAATCACACTTCTAAGTTAACGTTAATAAAAAAGGCTACGACCGTTAATGTTGCGTACCTACGAATCGCACTTGTCCGGTTTTATTTTAATAGGTGCTAATATATAAAAAATAAGTCGCACAATATTATTCATAATGAAACATATTTATCACGCTAATGACTTCTAGGTTTGCGTTAATAATGCTACTTAATCAATGGTTTTTATAGTCTTATCTAATCTTAATCACTTCCGTCCGCTTAGGTATTTTTTAGAACTAATACGAGATTTTATTTGCTTTATATAATGTAGGTATTGCTGTAAAACTAGACATTGTTTATTGGACTTTCTATATTACCATAAACATCTTAAACCAGGAAAAAAAACAAGTAGGCTCAAGTGGGGGACAGTGTAACAAGGGGCATAGTTTTTTTTCTATTTTTTTATAGTGAGGTAGGCAAATGACTCTCTCTACCCTACCTGATGTTAAGTGGTGATAAAGTCCAAACGCAAAGATAGCTGGTACAGCAGTTACAAACTGCTACACCAACCATCCTCACCTTGCAGGCCTGCAAAAATGCTTCTTCACGCCTCTCTTGAAGGACCCCAGATGGAAGAAGTGTAACAAAAGGAATATCTCTGTAACATAGCCGGCCATTTCACGCCTGGTGACAGCTGCTTATTAAGGCGGCATATGAAACTAATATAACCACGCCAAAAGACCGTTACACTGTGCCCTTGTTATACACCCCCCCCCCCTCCACCCCTCCCGTTGTCCCTACCTATCTATATGAAAAACTTGCGGCTGCCAACTATTTTTACTAGAAACAATTTCACGCGGACCAGACAGCAGACGGGACTCGAACCCTCACCCTCCGCTATCTGGGTGGATGCACTCACCATTATGCTACTATTTTCTCCAGAATTTATAATTTTATAGTATTATGTATATAAGTTATTTACGGAATTATTACCATGTTCCTTGTTTTGAGCGATTTCTAATTGTATTGGTAAACAACTTTTTTTTTTTAATTTGAATCAGCAGTTCCTGAGATTAGCGCGTTCAACCAATTAGTATAGATTAAGCAACACTTGTGTATACGAGTACCTAATAAGGAAAAAACAATATTGAAATAACAGCTTCCAAGAAAAAGCCAGCTCATGAAGATCATGAAGATGCGGAAATCCTGTGTTTCACATAATCTTTGTCGTACTCTGTATGAGTACATCGGCAATAAGATCGTCATAACGGCAATAAAATTACATAATATTCTTTTAAAGAATTCAGAGATATAGTTCGCGTAAAGGAGCACTATAATGGATGGACGGACAGACAGCGGAGACTTAATATTAGAGTTCCATAGACCTTTTTGCTATAACAAAAATAAAAGTCGTTAACATATAGTGATGGAACAAAAAATACTCACAAAAGCTACAACGAAAATATAACAGCATAGCATATAATATATTTTCACAATCATCTATATTAAAGCCTTAAAACTAGTCCCTATAAGAAACTTTATCCTATTCTACTTTCTACTAATAATAAAATATCAGTAAAGTTTGCATACTAAAGTTTATTTAATGGAAAAATTTTAGGTTCCTGTGGGATTCTCAATAACGGACGAAGTCGCGGGCTGCCGCTAGTTCCATTTTAAAGTGAGGTGGATTGGCGACAAACATTTTGCTTGGGGTGTAAGTCACTCCCTGTCTACCCCCTTTCCCACCAGTTGCATCAGCAGCGTACACCATACACAGCTTTATGTATAAGCATACTCAGTGCTTACAATACAATCCCTCCAGACGGGCGGTTTGTATGTCTAATATTTTGACAGAGTAATTCTTATAGCCTTTAATAATTATAGGTTTTTTGGTGTTTTCATTTACACAAATCACCAATTGACTACGGACGTAGCCCGAAAAGGACCGGAAATTTAGTATGTAATAATGTTAAAAAAACAATAAATCGCAATATATATATTATATTTGAAAAAAAAATCGATAAAAAAGTATAACTATAAAAAAACTTAAACTTAGTTATTTCAAATACCTTGAAAATGTCTCTTAGCTCGCGTCCGCTCTTTTAAGCCGAATTTACATTACGAAATTAGTGTCACATGTATAATGAACTAACTAATTTCATGAAACTTTTTGTAGTATTTGTGAAAT